TTTAATATTTTTGTGGAAACCAGGATGCTTAAGAAACAGTCTTTTGTAACATTTTAAATGACTATACTGTCACTTTTGATAAAAATGAATGCGTTCAGCAATGATGCATTAAATGTATCAAATGTAACACTAAAGTCAGTACTGGGTAAAAGTATTAATTTTTTATTTAAAATAAAATTATAGATAGATAGATATGTCATCACATGAATAAATTATAATTATGTATTATATTTTACATTATATTTTAATAAATTAAAATAGAAAACTATTGTAAAGTTATATTACTATTTTTAATGTACTTTTGATTAAATAAATGCCTGCCTTGTTAAGCATAAGAGACTTCTTTCAACAAAAAATCTTAATTATTTTACAAAAGAAGCATTGCATAAATAACACTATATATTTAAATAAATAAAATATTTGTTTGCTTTACTATAAAAAAAATTACTAAATATTTTAACAACAACAAAATGTACTTTTAGGCTTGCAAGATCAGACTTTAACAGATGAGCATGTGGATTTGTGAGTGCGAGCAAACCTTTTGTTCCAGTGTGCGCTCCAGTGAGTCCACCTTCATCTGTTCTTTCCTCAGACTGGCCTGATACGCTGCCTGCTCCTGCTTGGCTTTGCCTCTCACCTGAGCGATTTCAGCATTCGCCCTGTGGGTGCCACATGGTCAGAGTCATGCCATCATTTCATATTTCTAAGGACTTTCGCACAGTGTAAGTCAAACCCTTAATTAGACTAACAGTTGTTGTTCCAGGCAAAAGAAATCCCGTACAAAGCAAAACATATTAAAAACATATGCATGTGAAAGATCTGTACTTACTTATCCAGTTTCTCCTCAGCATGGATCTTCAAGGCCTGGTAGCGCTGCTCCTCCTTACGGACACGAGACAGGTATTCCTGTGCACATTTCTTCAACACATCCTCATTCTGAAGGAAAAAAGAGGTATTGGAATGAGTAAATGACTGCCAATAATGACCCTTTCTTCTTAAGCACAAGCTATTAGATAATGTTAACCAACAGCCTAATAGTTATTGTTGTAAGCTTGCATTCGTTTGGCTCCATTTTTGTATGTAACATCCACAATCAATAACAATCAAGTCCTGACCTTAATTTTTCTCATTGAATATTCCATTTAGCTCAGAATTACATCAAATTACAGAGCAAATGGAAATTCACAATGATTTTAACCTTTATCAATCTCAGTTTAAAGTGACTTACCTTGCGGAAGCCTTCCAAAACATCTTTCATCTTTTCATAGCGACGGAACATGTCAGCGAGAGATTTCTCCACGGAGTTGAGATCAGCCAAAGCCTG